GTGGGGGGGGGGGGGGGGGGGTAGGATACACCGTAGGCATTGTTGTCCATAATATGACAACAAAAGCTGTTGTCAAAAGAAGGGAGCCGACTAAACTAAAATGACACATAAAACATTCCTTGCTTTCTTTCTATGAAGTGATTCCTAAATGCAGCAATGCATCTTGGGTCTCAAGGAATGAAGTTTGCATACATCATCTTGACCCTTAAGATCCAATAGAGTTGAGATTTTACTAGTTTTGTTGTTGGTGTTGTTGTATGGTTACATATCTTTACAGTCATAAGTTTTGATTTTACCTTCAACGCAGATGGACAGCACAGGAATTCACAGTACAATCATTTAAGGGCGGCGGAGGGTGGTTTAGAGGCTGAGAAGAGAGGACGAGGAAGCAGTCAAGATATGGCGGGCAGGGTTCAGGGCATATTGGAGCATCAGGATGAGGACATTGTTGTTATCTAGTAATTGTGCTCTCTCTAGCTCCCATTTCTCCACTGCATTGTAGGACATCAACTTCTGGTTCGAACCCTTTATTAATTCCCATCTATCTTACCATTGTTAGCATATTGGTATTCTTGATGGCGCAGTGTGTTAGCTGCTGCTATACTTTTCTTGAATTATGCACTACCACTTTTCTGACAGTGTAGATTTTCTTTGTATATTAGTCCTGTCCCATAACAAGAATTCGTCTTAATTTTTTAATTAATTTTAGTATGTTACAATTATAGGAAATCGTAAATTTTAGTTGTATATATATTTTTTACTTTCACCGTGGTACACTATCAATTGTGTCCAGAATGAGTTCCCTTTTTTCATACATGGTAAAAAACAATTATGTTGTATCTCAAATCCTTTCTAGATACTCCCTCCGTCCCATTTTATAACGTCTGTTTAGGTTTACGATGTTTAACTGAAGTTATTTTCAAATCATTTTATATGACAAATGGTATAGAGTAAAAAAATAAAAATTACATATCAAAATACTACAATAAAAGATCTACAAAACTAGTAGTGACAATAATATTTTATTTTCTCAAATAGCTAACGAAAATAGAGAAAGAAAGTGAATGAAGTTTGACCTTGTAAATAGTGAATATGCATTATAATTTAGGACGGACTGACGGAGAGCGTAACATATTGGCATTGTGTGGCTTTTAAGAATGATAATCTCATCTTAAAATAAGATTTTATATTACGGAGCAAGTAGTACTATTTAAAAGGTTGAATCTTATATGTTCTCGTACCTCTCCCCTCTTCGAGGGTTGTTATTGCAAACTTTTAAGAATAAAATATCTAAAGTATTCCTAAAATAAGTCAATGTTCTCCACTTTATCTTTTCATTCATCGTCACGCCTCCTAAAAAGTAATAATAATTTCAAAAAGTCAACTTTATTTTTTCTCTTCCTTAAATATGTCTCAAAGTCAGAACGGACGATTTAAAATGGGACGGAGGGAGTATTCAATAACTATGTGTTTTCTCAAATTAGTTTCCAAAATAACTAATTTCCGAAATGGTACTCGGTAATTGAGAATAATGCTCAGTTCAGTCCATTCGATTAACGGCCGTTAAAATGATGTTAAAAAGAAATTAAATTTTATACTCCTGTCCCAATTTATAGTGTATGTTCACTATATACAGATTCAAACTTCAATTACTTTCTCTTTTTATTTTCGTTAGCAAATGTGATAAAATAAAGTATGATTTTTACTACTAGTTTTGTAGATCTTTTGATGTAGCATTTTAATATGTAATTTTAATTTGTTAACTCTATACCATTTGTCATATAAAATGATATGAAAATAATTTTAGTCAAACATCGTAAACCAAAATAGGCACTATAAATTGGGACGTAGGGAGTACTATTTTCTCAAATTGGTACTTTCTAACTCGGTGTTTTCTCAAATTAATCTATTTTCAAAATAAAAATACATTAATTATGAGAAAATATTTTAAATTTTATAGGATGATAATATAATACTAAAAACAATAAATATACTTTTACAAATTTGAAAGTAACGTTTTAGGTTATTTACAATTATTTAAAAGAATATCATGTAAACAAAATATTTAATAAACGTTGAAAAAATCACTCTAAATAGTAGTAAAACATAAAGAAAAAGCTACTATTTTGATATTTTCTTTAATTTTTAATAAATCACCCTACGTAGCACTCTAAGTCACTCAATATTATGCATATAGCACTCCTTAATCTTGTATACGAATTTAGCTATTTATAGTGTCAATATCTTCCAAGCATACCCTCCTCCTAAAACGTGCGACTCCTCCTTATTCGTGCGTCTCATACGTGCGAGAGCATCATCCTACGCTGTTTACCAATAGCTTTGCGATATTCTCCTCATACACAGTTTACCAATGTATAATGCATAAAAGATTTGTACATATTAAATTAAGTTTCATATTTAACGTCCATGTTTGGCCATTGTGTTTTGGTGTAATAAATTTTTCAATCATACATTTTTTGGGCAGTATAGAATTCATACATGAAAATAGTCATACATTTTTTGCAGTGTGGAATTCATATATGAAAACAATGTGGAATTCATACATAAAAAAGCTATACATTTTTTGGGTAGTGTGGAATTCATACATGAAAACAGTAATACTTTTTGATAGTGTAGAATTTATACATGAAAATACTACCACATAAATCAATAGACATTACACTCCAAGATGAAAGTAAGGAACACAATAATACACTAACTGATAAGTCCGTTTCGTTCTTATCATTTGCATCATATTCTAAACGTTATTGCACGTAAATAATATTTAATCATCTCATAAAATCTGATTTTAATGGTTAGACCTCTCATTTTCGTTCTAAGAGTCATAAAAAGGGATTCCACATGAAGTCATCATAAATCATCCATTTTCTGTTCAAATGCTTGAGAAAAAGGGAATGAATCATCGAAGGATCAAGATTCGGGCTTGAACGAGCTTCCAGGAAGATAAAATCGACGTTCGGGCCGAAAACCAGCGAAATTGGGCCAAGATCTCGCCTCAGCCGCGAAGCCCAAACGGACTAGGGCCTAAGGCGTCCAACTTGGACGCTTTGGCTGGATTGCAAACCAAGGAAGACACGTGGCAGAACCTGGTTGGCCGGAGCAGCTCAAGCGTCCGGATCTGGACGCTTCGACTTGGACGCCTCAGCCTCTGTCCTATAAATACAGCGCGATTCTCCCCATTCAACACATCACTTTCATCCCCATTCTCGGGATTTGAGCTTATTATTGCAACTCCAAATTCTAGTTTATTATTATAATAGTTTTAGAGTAATTTTTGGAGGAATTCTACTCCCGATCTATCCTGTTCCGCTTTTCTGGAAGTTGTAAGCTTTCTTTATTTAATAAAACGCTGTTTTAATTTATGTTTGCATAGTATGAGTTAGGGTCCGGATCTCTGGGTCCGGACTAGTTTGGTTGTTTATTTTTGATGTTAAATTAATGTTGGAATAGTTAATCTATTGCTCTTGCCTTATTTAGTTAATTATTCTCGAAAGAATTAATTAGCTATTTATTGAGAAAATATTGTATGTCAATTGACTATGATATTCAAGTGCAAGGGATTAAGTACAAATCTAGAAATGGATGAGTAGTAATAGAAATATTATTATTCCAATTGTTAATTTAATATGATTAAATAGATCCAAATGATGTCCAGACCCTAGCACCAGATCTACACTTATACTATGTAAACTTAATTTATTATTTCTACCCCGCTCCTTTTATAATCGTTCCGAGAAGACTTTCACAAACCAATCCTAATCTACGACACTCGGAGAAAAAACTAACCCTTTACTGGGAAGGTTTACTACCCGACACTAACACACTGCAGTAAGATATAAAAATATCTATTCTGTACTGCCACATTAAATACTCACATATAAAATATCATACTACCCACTACACAGTTACAAGTTAACAACCACACTGCCCAAAATAGTTATATTTTTTGACAGTGTGTAATTAATATTTGTTGTTTAATTAAAGGACAAAATCGGAATCACAGATACGAAACATATAGCACTAGGGGTGTTCATCGGGTCAAACCCGGACCGAGACCGGACTAAATAAGAGGAACTTTGTGGACCGAGGACCAGACCGCTTAAGGTAAGGACCAGACCGGGACCGGACCGGTAAAACCCGGACTGGACCGGACCGGTAAAACCCGGACCGGACCGGAACCAGACCGAATAAATGTATTTTTTATATTTTTTTTAAATTCGGTTTTATTTATTTAATTTAAAGTTTTCAATTGTAAAAAAGTATTACTACAATTAATTTTTCATGTGTAACATACACTAAACATTTTCAAACATTTTTTTAAAACTTCAAATAAAATATATATCCTTCATCCATATTACATAAAATTTGTTTGTAATTTTTATTTTACATATACAATATTCTTCTTCTTACTGTGTTTTTATTTTTTTGTAATATTTTTTTTGTGTTTTTGGTTTGTTTTGATAGACGGATACATTTTTTTACTATTTTTGTTCATAAGATTATTTACAATATTTTTTTGTTGATTGGAGTTTTATTACTGATAAAGTACAAACTTAAAAATATTTAAATATCATTAGAATTAGTATCTTATTTTGAATTGGAATATATTGAAAAAATTATATTAAATAATAAAATCAAAATATCTTAAAAACTTTTAGTATTAAAGTTAAATTTATTTTAAGTATAAGAAAAAAATTTTAAAACTATATTAGAAAACTATATAAAAAACAAATATTTAAAGAAAAATAAAATGTAAACGGTCCACCGGACCGGACCGAAGCCCGGTGGACCGTACCGAACCGGACCGGAACCCGAATAAGAAAAATGTGAGGACCGAAGACCGGACTGAATAAGGACCGGTCCGGACCGATTCGGTCCGGTTTTGGCCGAGTTTCGGGTCGGTCTGGGTTCGGACCGAATAATGCACACCCCTATATAGCACTGCTATTTAGAGTATTTTAATACTCTAAAAGTGCTATTTTAGTTTTTCTCCCTTAATTTTTCCTCCTATTTAGGGTGAATTCATTAATGATTATTAAACATTCAATTTACATGATATTTTTCTAAATAATTATAAATAATTGAAAACATTTGATTTTAAAATGTTTTAAGTGTCATATTTTCATCGTATAGAATTTAAAATATTTTTCCATAATTAATGTATTTTTATTTCGAAAAAATTTGAGAAAACACTCAGTTAGAAGTTTCATTTTGGGAAAGTGGTATAAAGTTTAACATCGTCTTAACTTCATTTTAACGTCCGTTAGTTGAGGGACTGAACTAAACATTATTCTCAATTAACAAGAATCATCTTTGAAATTAGTTAATTTTAAGGACTAATTTGAAAAAAACACATATTTATTGAGTACCATTTAGAGAATTTTCTCATAAGATAATGAGCTCTACCAGACTTTAACGGAACTGTTTGTCTTAAAAACTAAAAACAATGAAAAAATACAACTTAAAAAAGTGAAATTTGCACGAAATAGGACTAAAACATAATGACTTTCCTAATGTAGGACTTAAACTTTTTTATTCCCTAAATAGGCCTTAATAATGACCTAGTGGGAGGAATAATGTCTAGTAATGATGAACATTTACTTAAATAATGACTGCTTCATAATGACCAAAGGTTATACATTGGGAAATAAAAATATACTCCGTATGATCCAATATTAGGAAAGTCATTATGTTTTAGTCCTATTTTAGTAAACTTCTCTTTAAAAAAATTAAGATTGAAAAGAACAAACACTTCGCTTAAAACTCCTACAAAACTCAAGCGCAGGGTGCTACACGGTACAAATTCTTCAGTCAAATCTTCTGGGATTCTCTATACATCCAAGACAATAGATCCAAAAGCTCTAAAGTAACATATCGAATTATTGGAATAGCAATTGTTCAACGAGGGGTTGAGCATTTGAAAAGACATCTGAAAGAAGCATTAAAAAAAAGAAATTCTGATTTTGAAATCATATGATTTCGAAAAGAACGAAAATTACATGATTTCAAAATTTTCATTTTGAAAACCAGAATCGCATACGTCTCACTTCGAATATAACATGCAAAATCTCATCACTTTTAAAATAATTATATTTGCAAATTGGAATAAAAATAAATAGTGCAAATTACATATTTCAAAACTACACCAAAAGTTTAATAAAAGATGCAACAAGAATATTTTATTTTATCAAATCATAATAAAAACACACAAATAAATGAAAAAAACACAAATAAATGAAAGTTGACAGAAGACTAGAATAGTAATTGAGAAGATTATTGTGGGACGGAGGTAGTATTTCATTTTTTTTTATATAAAAAAATTAATACCAGAAATTGTGATTAAGATTCGAAATTCACAAAATCACCCCAACAAATGCAAACCAAATACACTATGTATGATTTATGAACCTTAGTACATAATCAATACAGCAAGGTACCTTCATACAATTGATATAGACAATGTCACCTTCTTGGTCTTTTCTTTGCTTGTTTTGTAGCGAGCGGCTCAGATAGATCTACCTCGAGATTCCGTTTATTCAACTGAGAAGATGGAGCTGCAGCTCTCTTTGGTGGCCTACCAGACACCTTTCGAAAGGTTCCCTTTTGTATAACCTGTTCAAGAGGGGGTTTTGAAGACAAGGGAAGTTCTTTTCTACTTTTGTTATCATCACTGAGTGGGGTGCTCTTCACAGCATCCATGAGCGACCTGCTGTTTGTGGAAGAGCTTTGTTTCATTCGATTCAAGAAATTTGCTGCACCTCGTTTCTTTGAGTCTGTGTTAGATTGGGCATTATTAGTACTGTTATTATTATTCTCACTTTTGGATGGGTGGTTTTCCCGCTTTCTTTGTGCTTTCTCTACGACTGTAGCTGAGATTTTGTTTTGGTTGATGCAATTGAAATTCTTCTCGTTTCTTGTTTCTCGCATTCTCTTCATTGTGGTTCTGTTTTCTTCAGGGTTTGTAAGGACGGCTTGTGAAGGGGACTTCGGTTTCACGTCTATAATACTTGGTCCATCGTCGAACTTTCTTGCTATTTGATCCTTCGTGTTATCAACCCCAGAAGAAGATCCAGATGATTTTGGAGCAGTAATAGAGTTGCTCTTGCGGCAACCAACTAATGATTTTGCATCCTGTTTGTCAGACTGCTTAGGGTTTTCTTCCTTGGTAAATGGTCCTAGTTTTATAAGAGATTTCTGCTTCAAGGACGGGAAATACACCTTGGCTCTTGACAGCTCTTTAGAGATGAGCTGTCGAAGCTCCATTGCTGCTGTGAGCTCAGAGGTATTCTTCCTGAAGATGATGATGGCGTTGTTTGCTAGCACAAGTAAATCACGAAAGAATTTGGCTTTGCAAACTACATATCGCCCTTCATGAAGCCTTAGTCGAACTGTTTCAAAATCAATATGTTGCCTGATTAAAAGCTTGTAATCTTCTGTTTGCTGCAAACATTGAACGGCAAGACCACCATATCAGGCAACATGATAGAAGACCAGATTATACTGCTATGTAACCTATGTTAGCAAAAAGTAGTGTAAAAAGAAAAAGAAATGGACAATAACTTAGATTCTAAGTCCCAAAATATGTCAGTTTACAATAAAATCATGTTAAGTTACCAAACAACTTCTAAAAAATTAAAATTACAAACTACTTTTTAAACCAGTAACTGTTGTCATCCAGACAAGGCCTAATATTGAGTTCAACTGATTGGTTAACTATGAGGATAAGCTATCCTTATTGATTTTACAACTAGTTCATGTTGCCAAGGTATCAAATACTCCGTAGTTTATTAACTCATCTTGCAAAAAAAATCAAAAAATTATGAGGTATCCTAGAGGGTGACGAGGAGGGTAGTGGGTATGGGGGCAGGAAATCTATGTTCTATGGTACCACCATCACTAGCTAGCTATTAGCTAATCTATCTACACATGTTAACAAGCATAGCTTAAAATTGTGATAAAGATCTTCTTGTCCAAGAGTCTTGTTCATCTTATGATTCATTTGTCATTGATTGGTTAGATGAGACCTTTTAAAGAAAAAACACTTCATAGAGTTGCATACTCCCACCCTCTCACAACTGAAGCCCTAGTTTCCAGTTTTGGTTGTACACAAATAGAAGTTGCAATTCCCTTCTTTCCTTTTAAGGGAGGGAATTTGTGGCTCGTGACGTTTTTCTCTTACAATATCTAATCAAAACTCGGTCATAGTTTGTAAGGCGTCGCCTAGGCGATAAGGCGCTATCACTGGGACGCCTTGTCTGCTCGCCTCGCCTAGAAAACCATAAGACGACCAGGCACTCACCTAGGCATCGCCTTACCTCGCCTTGATGCGTTGGGCCACTTTAAAAATTTTGAAGAAACCCATTTTTTAGTGCAGCCCATTTTCTTTTAGTGTAGCCTAATAGACTTAAACTTATCTTCTCTCTCTCTCCCGGACTTCTTTGTCAAGCTTCCTTAAAATGTATAAGACCTATATATACATATATAAATATATAAATATATAAATACACACACACACACATATACATGTAGGTATGTATGTCGCCTAGTCGTCGCCTAGGCGCGCGCCTAGTCGCCTAGGCGATATGAAGGTACATTGGCACCTCGCCTCGCCTCGCCTTACAAACTATGAACTCGGTGAATGACCTCATGGCCATAATTGGTTCACCGAAGACCAAGAGCGCTGTACTAATATTTAACTTATTAGTTTAATTAATTCTACAGCAAAATGAGAAGTATGAAGGCACTTTAATATGGAGCTGAATTACTCCGTATTTAATATGGAGTATAATTTTTTCAACTTAATAATGTTAAGAATAGTATGAATTATATGTGTGTGTGTGTGTGTGTGTGTGTGTGTGTATATATATATGTATGTATGTATGTATGTATGTATATGTGTGTGTGTGTGTATATATATATATATATATGTATATATATAAATGTATATATGTATATATGTATATATGTGTGTGTATATATATATACATATGTATGTATGTATATATATATGTGTGTAGGTATCTAGAGTGTGTGTGTGTGTGTATATATATATATATATATATATATATATATGGTATAGGTATCGAGTTTGTTTATACCTAATTTCCGAATTGAACCTACTTTCTTAAGGTTTTCCAATTTGACATATTCTTGCAACTAGTTACAAAAGTTAGACACGTGTTGTAGGATGCAATCCTAATACGGAGTTTTTTTTTTAAAGCGATGAAACCCTAATATTGATCGCATGGAACTATCCAATAGATGAGAAATACAGAGGCATTCCCCTCTCACCTGGCTCTCGAGCATGCGCGTGAACAAAGATCCATGCTTGTGGCTTTCAATCTTTTCTAAAAAATTGATCAACGGTTGAAATTCAGAAGGCATGATTTTTGTT